CAAATGAACAGAACAAGATTGGGGGGAGAGAGCGGAGAAAAAAACATAATATACAGCGGCGCAGCCATGACGTTTACATGATTGCCGGCAGCTGTTAATTAGTGCTTTCATTTTAAATTATAATTCCGCCAGGCAATTTGGCAAAATAGTTGAAAACGACATGGGTCTGAAACATTTTCACGTTATAACCTGGTAGCTACTGCACAATGAATTAGTGAACATCAAATGGAGAAAAAATTATATCCATTTAGCAGCAAAAACAAAACAACAACAGCAGTGGCAGCCGAAGAAGGATCATGCGACGAGCGGCGATGAGTACATGAGTGTCGGTTAAGCGAACACACGACTGCATCTAATTATTGTTATTTGGTGTGTGAAATGGCGTTTCTCTCTCACACACACACACACTTTGTCATCTCTATCGGCCGGCCGAAATGCAGGAGGGCGTTTGAAATGTGATAAATGTGGCGGAAGATCAAAATAAATGAACTTATCAACGACTGAACAAAAACCAGCCATCAAAGTAGTTGATGTGACGCATTTTTTAGTGAATCAATTTCACTTTGTCGTCATTATTCACATTCACAAACTAGGCTTGCGGCATGAATTTGTCGTTAGGCAGGATGACATCGGGCTGTGGCCTCGGTAGAAAAGAACGAAGAAGACAAAGTTTATGCCTCAAATTTTATGGCCATTTTCGACGTGGGCTGTTATTGATGGCAAAATATTTGCTGTGATCTATTTTGGTTCTTTTACGATTATGGGCTTTTAGAATGATCGTAAAACTGTGTTCGGTTTTTTTCTTTTCTTTCTCTTTTACTTTTTTTCTTTTTCGTCGTTTTCTTTGATTGAGTTTCGAAAATGTAATGGAACGAACTTGTTTATTTGAAAATTGTTTGTACTCCTTAATCGCTTCATGTAAACTGTGAATGCGATCGAGCGGTGTGTTTGTGGATTAGGTGAATGCACGGTACAGCGGCTATAGATTCGAAATATACGCCTCTGCAAACACACGATCACCAAACAGAAAAACCATACATTCGATCACGACCGATGTTTTCCTTTGAAGCACATTTTTTTCTCTCTCGTTTTTTTCTACCGTTGAATTTCGATCGTAACGTTTTTACTAGCTGCAAAAAAGTGAATATAAATGGATGTTTTATACGAGGCATAAGCCGTCGAATATATTCAATGTTAAACATTGGCGCAACCATTAAGATTATTATTATGAACACAGCGATCCACATTTTAGTGTTTTGCTTCTTTAGCGCTTCGGGTTCTACATCTGCATTTAAATTGCCGCAATTTCATATATTGAATGTGTTTTATTTTTCAGTTTTATTATCCGTGTTATTGTTTTTAGTATTCCATTTGTGTATGGTGTGGCCAGAGTAACAAAGAAAACGACGTGTATGGGGCGCAGAATGAGATTGAGAGCGAGAGAGAGAGGCGATGTGTGTATTCAGATGAATACGCAGCGTGAAATGGGCGAAAATTCGTTTTATTTTATTTGTCAATGTGTGTTCATGAACATTAAGTCGATGCATTTAACCATTCCTGGAGGGAATAGAGTTGCAGTCAAGTAATAACAGAAAAAAAAACGCATGTGATATTGAATAGGCGCGATTGCATGCCGACCACAACGACAATGACGACAACAAAGAGCAGAAAGTGAACGTCCTTCAACCGTACTCGAGAGTCGTCGTCGCATGGCCTGTACTACTGCTGCTGCTGCGGCAACGACGTTGGTGTCGTTAAATCAACGACATTTCATTTTATTCCTTTTTGCACTACACAGAACATAACTTATCGAATGAATAGAGTTTGGCTTGATCTGCTCCAAAGTGCGCGTCAAATTATTCGCCTCTTTTTCTCCTCTCAAAACGGAATTCTCCACATTTGTTTATAGATTGCATCGCCACAGGATCATAAAAATCACAACCACGGATGCAGCCGACTTGTATACAATTCGCTATTTTTTACGATTGTTCACTGTTTTTTTTTCGAATTTTAATTCAAAGTCTCACCATGTGTGCGTGTGTTGAAATTTACATTTATTGCCCCGTTTGGTTGTTGTGTGTTTATTGAGCGCGCGATGCTTTCCACGGCTCACTGAATACGGCGACTGGGCAATAAAAGTGGCAATAGAGCACCGTCCCATAAAAACGGTTCAGACTATTGAAATGCAAAATTGCGAAAATTATACATTAAATGGCCAATTCTTGCGTTGTGTGTTGTTCGCTTTTTTTTCCATATTGATTATTATGTGCCTGAATCATGGGTCCTTTGTCTCCGTTTGTGCAAACAATTGACATTTATGCGGTGATAATTTTTGCAGTTGCGAATTGCTGTGCCAAATGATGTGCCATTTTTGTGTGCGAACAAAAGTTTCCATTTCAAAAGCATCTAAAAAATCTCGGCAAAAATTCACTGCCGTCATTGTCGTTGGTTTTTAGTAGCGGCCATTGTTTCCAATTATGACGGTAATCAAAGAATGAAATTCCCTCGAGAAATTCTCTCAAAGCCTTTGTTCTCTGACAATCGCACGTTATCGCTAGAAAATGGAAGTGCCATAAAATGCGCAACGGTCAAAAACACGATATGTCTTTAATTTTTGCTTATACTTTTATGAAGACCCATGGTAAATTCGCTAATAAATTTTTTATTAGCATTTTACTTGTGTTTTTGATCACATTCGTTCAATTTCTCGCCCAGTATTGTGTAAATCAACGCTGGGACCTCTTCTTCAGCGGCAATAATAAAAGCAATTTGTGAGCATGTACGGTACGCACAGAAACAGCAATGCAAAATGGAACATTTCATTAAGCGCACAGAGGTACCAATTTTATGATACACTATATGCACCATTAAGTTGTGTGAGCGCGCCCGGGCAAATGGCAAGCCAAATACCATTTTACCCAATTTTGATTGCAATGTATACGTATTTTTGTTCCACACACACACGTCGGCGCAACATCTTCAACTCGACAAAACACAATTTTCGTTCGTTATTTTTACGATTGCATTTTATGGCTGCACCTTTATTTATTCAGATAATTATCCCATAAATTCGTAATGATTAATAAGGAATGATTTTTATTGTCATCGTGTCTTCCATACAAAATATATTCAATTTCGCAAGGCAGCCACAGGAAGAAGAATATATAATCACCCCGTCAAACATTATAAAATGGGTAAATAAACGGCAATTTCGAGAGAGAGAGAGAGAGAGAGAGAGAGAGAGAGAGAGAGAGAGAGAGATAGTTGGACTCACTCAGCAGCAGCCAGAGTATTTTATGATCTGTTATAAATTTGATGCCTTTAGTACAGCGATAAAAATAAGACGATAAAGCCCCACCGGGTGCCATCAGAGATATACTCTGTCAACAATTTGCAGCGATATTTTTAATTTGCTAATGAGTGAGCCGAATTTGAAAAGCATTTCGATTATATTTCAAGATATTTCAAGATTAGAATCGACCCAGTACTAAACCAAAATCTAGATGACAACCACGACCATGACCATGACGATGATGATGACTGAATGCCACGTGCCCGAAAAATCTCAACTCGATGAATGAACCCGCTTAAAATGTAATTGGTACCGACTGAATCAAATTTTAAACGTTGAAACGGTTATTAGAACTAAATTATGCATAAATTGTGCTATGCCATGGGTTGATAAAGAATGAAAATGTCAATCATTCCGAGAAGCGTCCATAATTGTATTGGATTTCGATTCGATTCGATAAAATTAGATCGAAGATATCGTGTATCTTTGAATCGACTTTTGATTGTACATTTGAAGCGAAACGACATGCATAATGATATTTTAAAATGTAGCTCGTTATCGTTTTAAAGTGAAAATTTAATAGAATAAATGCGAGCCGGTTTGTCATTTTAATGGATAATTTACGATCATCATGCGACGAAATAATTAACGATTTTTCTACAACTTTTTTTTGTTCGGTTTCAAACTAGGTGCAGCTGGTTTATTTCACATCGGTCGCTTTGGCTTGGCTTGGCATGGCATGACTTGGTTTGTGTCTATTGCTGTGCAAAGCCAATCATTACAGTATATAATATACAAGCAATCTACTTTGTCCACGTAATCCACTAAATCAAGCATTTGACGTACACATGCAAAGCCTTTACCATTCACGGGGGCCTTTTAACTCATGTCATTCGCTCGCTCTCTCTCTCTCTTGCGCTTCTCGCACGGTGTATTTTGCTTTTATGTGATGATTTCAAATTGTCTATGGATAAATGCGATATGTATTTGCTTGTCGTTTGAAATTTGAGTAGCAAACACACACACACACACAAGCACTCTTTTCCATACGCACTCACACCGTATCATTCACCATACGCCTGTATCTGTCGACGATGTATTCTTTTGTCCGATGTTTTAATTCTCGAATGTGTAAGCCATTGTTTTTGTTCAAAAATAGAAACATCATCGACTTTAACATGACATTAAACCAACAAGCATATACAAGCCAATAAATTGGAAAATGGTTAATTCTACACCACTCAATGTTCTTTGTTTCCCTTCTTCTCGTTTTCTATCTCTGCTTTTTTTTACTCTTCCGCACTTTATTATTCATAAACTTTAGCCTTAGAACGATTGGAACACGTCAGAAACCCTGGTGTCAATTGACCGATTCCGACCGGATTGAATAACATGACCCGCTATGAATTGGGATCGGTCAATGGGTTTTGTTTGATTTTTTACGAAGGCGAACATAAACCGCAAAAACGATTTGGCCATAAAAACATGGATACCAAACATGGAAAATCAATAGACACAATGTACAAAGATTGGTTTTTATTTTGTTTCACTGCTCATGGCAACCAAATGATCTCACATACGAAAAGCAACGTTTCAAATTTATAATTTGCGTGAATATTCATGAAGATTTTGTTTTTCGCTGGTGGCGTTATATCGTTTCGAAGAATGGATAAAGATAAGATTTGTAGCAGAAAAACAAAACACTAACGTTTGATTTTTGATGAAAATAAGCCTGATTGAGTTCACAATCGATGGGCTGGATGACTTAATGCAGCGTATAATCCAATAATTGCGATGGAAACGATAACGAATTTAATCCAATGATGAGCTTATGATTTTGGATGCACAGCACAGAATTTGATTCTTTCTCAACTTGTTTTTTCTCTCGTATTTCACTGTAAATTCTCGGTGTGTTTTTTTTTTCAAAGTCCACTTCTTTGCAATTCAAACTACACAGCTTCCACAATTTGTTATTCTTTTCTGGTTCTGTTTGCTTTTCGACAATGGCCAGTTTGGGCTATTTCTTTTCTCATAAAATTGCGTAAAAGTATTCCACTGTACGTTTTGGCTGACAACACGAAAGATTCGTCTGCTTCATTGCTTTCATACACTGATTATACACACACACTCTCGCTCACTCAACAACATTCAATTGAATTTCCCTTTGAATTTTTTTTGCTCGTTTCCATTTATAACGTTCTTTCTTTCTTCCAGTTATTCACTCTAATTCACTTTGTTTTTTCTCCGTTTTATGTTCTGGGGAATTTTTTCCGCTTTCGAACTGAAGAGCAGAGTAGCAACTGTCGGTGTGCTCTTGTTATATATCGTAATTTCCCGTAATTCAATCACTTGCACACAACGGATAATGGTAATAATGGATTTGATCCAACAATTCAATTGCAAACGAATGAAAACCAATACTTTTTTTTCCCTGTATAATCAAAAACAACAAATTTCCTTTCTTCTTCTTTTTTTGCTTTCGGGATAATATTAAACCAATTTCTCTTTTTTTTTTATGAATGATGGAACAAGCAAATAAAATGAAACAATCGAAAAATATGCGTTTAATTTTCGTTATTCTTCTTCTTCTTTTTTTGAAACAAAAATCAATGAATGACTACACCACACTTCACGAAAATAAAATGATTCAACAGAATGAAATTTCTATAACAATATCTTCAATTTGAAAGAGAAAAAAAAACAACTTTTTCAGAAACACTTGGGTTTTACTATGCTTTCGCTTGGATTAGACTGGTTTTTGTTCGGATGTTTTATTTTACTTGCTGAAAATGGTATCGTATGACACGGACGAGAATTTAAACGAACGAACGGGCGTACACACATCAGTTCGCTTGAAACGTTTCACTTAGTATGTGAGCACCGTCAAACTGTACATTGAGTCGAACCTCATGAGTTACGATGCGATTCGGTTCGCGCTCGCTATTGCGCTCTGTCTGCCTCTCATTCGGTCGCTGCTGCTGTGCTTCGCTCTCTGCGGCGGCTGTTGCCACAGACTCAGAATTGCCGGTTGATTGCGATCCACGTACAATAACAGCACAACACAGCAGCACCGCATTCGCTGTTCGCTCTCGGCGAACGTATATTTGTCCCGCTCTGTGGTGCGTATGCTGTATGCCAGTCGATGTTAAGACTTATTTTACAATTCTCTCGCGCGATTCCGTTGCGCGCCAGTTTTTCGCTCTCTCTCTCTTTTGCCGTTTTAACGGCATCAATGCCATGGTTTTGGATTCTTTTTAAAGTGCATTCACGGTATTTTTATTAAGAAATTGAAATATAATGGAGGGATCCTGCGTTGCTCAGCGTCAACAATTTCACAGAACACCTAATGAAAATATAAGCTAAAAAATCAGCGAAACAAACTGGGAAATCAGCCCATTTTGTCGGGACATAAAAATCAGTAGAGAAAAAAAAACGGTAATTCAAAGAATGTTGGCTGCTCGCAGTGTGCACAACGATTCGTATTTACAAATCAAAAGCACGGCATGTAGCTTTGTCGTCGTTTTTCATTCGTTAATGCCAGGCAAGCCAAGAATTCATGCGAGATCCTTTGACCGAGCGCACATAAACAACGTTATGGAGCGAGTGCGAATATTTCGGTGGTGGATATACCCGTAAATAATTAACCGGATGAATGAGTTCATTACATGCAATTGAGCTCCACTAAAAACAAGCTCCAGCCAGTTTCAGCGGTGATTTATATGAGTTGGTGTGTGGAGTTCATCGGCACTGTACTCTCTGATTCACTCTTTCTCACTCGCTCTCTCCACACACAAATAACGACCATATTGCACGGATCTTTGTATTAACCTGAAGCCGCATTATGAACAAAGAGAGCACTTAACATTTACCCGAAAACTAAAAGTATGTTGTTGTTCCTTCTTCCATTTGTTCGCCTGGCTCGGCCTCGCTTTCGGATTCGATCCGCTGTTTCTGTGTGCACTTTATGCTCTCGCTCTCACTCTCTCGCTTTGACTGTGTGTGTGTGTGTGTGTGCTGTAAGTGTACTTGTGTATAATTCTGAACAGCCACACGGTAGATGCGACCAAAGCATATTGACTGTGTATGCGTATCGAATAAAATTCGGAATATGCGCACAGAACGGCAAGCGGCCATGCAATTTTCTTCGCCATGATTTTTATTTCTCTCCATTTATTTACTTTCATCGGGTCTGAATGCAGCAGCATCAGTAAAATAGCACATGCAATGCGCTCTTTCTAGTCTCAGTTTATCGAACTAGTCGCGCGGCTGGCCTGATGTCAACAAAAACAGAGAGCCAGCACACGGAAAACAACGCAAGCACTGACGACATCCGTACACGTTTCTTCAACGATGAGTCGCTTCTTTGTTCCTTTCATTATGATTGCTCTGTAGTCCCTTCGAGTTGATCGAGACTTGCTTAAGAAGCGCTCATTTTTAAAGGCAAACGCATAAGCAGAGCAAGGAAAACCATAAATAATAATCTTTTTTTTCTCTAAAGCAACGTAAATGAAGCAATAATCGAGCCGTTTAAAGGTAACACACATACACACCACACCGCTGAAGTGAGAGAGCTCACGCAAATTGAAGTTCACGTTATGTGGATAAATCATGACGCAGTTCTTCCAATTTTATTTCCAGCTGAAGACAATCGAAAGAAGAATGAGAAGAAAGAAAAAAACTTGTATACATAATACACGACACGCACCCTAAAGTATTTATGTTCACACATCCCATGCATATAATAGTATTTTGTGTAAATCCGGTTATGGTCTTAATAGAAAATGACTGTTAATGCCGTCTAAGTAAGTTACAAATAAAGACGAATCGAAAGGCAATCAGCAAAGGCAGCAACAGCAGCAGAAAAAAACGAATCGTACATAATGAAAGCATGCTTTCAAGAGGGTTTCATTTCACTCTCCATTCTTCGATCCTGCTTTTGATGGTACGGACGCGCGCAATTGAATGCATAAGTAAAGAATGAATGAAAGAAAAGAAGAAAAAAATGATCTCAACGCAAACAAAAATATCGCCCATTAAATTCACAGTTATAAATATTTCAAACAGTTTTACATTTCATTATATTCATTGAATGGGAATTCCACGGGAGCAGCAGGCGAAAACCTAATAATGTGAGCAAAATTAAGCTTCATACAATGTTCTATTCATCGGTCTCACTGCATACACACAAACTCTTTCTGCGTTCTGCTGTCAGAAACGCAAATTCAACGTGACGGAGACAGAGAGCGAGCGAACGAGAGAAAATTTACCCAACAATTTGTTTCGAAAACGTGTCGATTTGAAAGGAAATGTGGAAATATTGCGGACGAAATAATCTGTTGACACAAGTAATTGTGCCTTTTCACCAATTCGGTGTGTTTTCTCTTCCTTTCATTCGTCTTTCGTTTGAATACCTGAATTCCTGGTTCCCATTCGGGCCAAATACTTGAAATTGAATTTTAGGGTTTGAGTTTTCTTTATTTGCTGGTTCTGACACTGATTTCGTCCTTTTGTGCAAGCGATAACTAGTAATTTCGTCTAAGTGGTCGTCGAACAAGTCATTGACGTAAGCACAGGCGAATGAAAGAAACGGCGATAATTTATACGGTGATTTTCAAGCAACACAAGATGCGATTGTGTGTGAACGATGCGAAGTGAAAACAATGGGATGACGATTTGAGGGGTTTGACGCATGTAAACGATGATGGCTTTCATTCTCTCTCTCTCTGTGTGTATGTGTTTTTGTTTATCGGTCGGAAGTGAAGTCGTTTGGAATGTATAAAAACAAGAATGAATAGCGTGCAATTGATCTTGAAAAATGTACCGAATAGTTGAGATGAGAGGTTAAGTGGCTACTGTTTCCTAGATTATGTGCCTGTATGTTATTCACAATGGACAACTTTTCAAACGACCGACAATGATGGACAGGAAACGATTACTGCGGTTGATTTAGTTCTTCTTTTGCTTCATCTTGTTTTTTCTCTCTTTAATCGAAATGGCAAAAGCAATATATTCTGATGTTTGCCAAGCGTGTAAAATATCGACGGGTATCGATAATGTGGACTGTTTCGAGAAAAAAATCGAATAAATTATTATGGCAACGACGATGATCAAATGAAACTGATGACGAACAACAACACCAAAACTAACGCTTACAGACTACAATTGGAAGAAATAATTTTTTTTCTCTCTTCGGTTCGTCTTATTAAAAGTCCAACTGTGTGATGACACAAACAGCAGCAGCAGCACAACCAAATGTTAGTACAATTAAGGAAATTGAGTTATGTTCTTCGAATAATAAATTGATCACCTCGAGTGTCTTGTTCACATCGCTCGTCGTTTTGTGCAATAAGACGATCCAAAACAAATGTGAATGAGTACGTGTGTCGTATAACGAACGTGCTGCTGCTGCTGCTGTTGCTTCATTCAAATTCATCGATCATATTTTAGAGAAAAAAAAACTACTAAACTTAACGACGCAAATCGACGACGCAATTCATTATTCATTCCATATCGTTTCTTCAGAAAATAAAAGTATGATTATTATTAGTTTCGTTAATATTCACTCTTGGCTTGATGAAAGGCAATTCACTTCGTCATCGATTCCAAAATACAATTTTACTTTCATATTTTCTTGCATCAGTAAAAATAAATAGAAATAGAAAATTTCTACATGTAGAGAATGCAGAGAAACACCCCGCAAACAAAACAGAAAACAAATTATGATTTGTGTTTGCATACATTATGAGTGTAAAAAGATGGAGACGATGCGCGAAACAAAAGCCGCATCGCACCGTCATCGTCGTCGTCGTCGTCGTCGATGAGTAGAGTAGGAGAACAGAGTGTGGCAGTAAATCAATAAAATTCATTAAAACATGATTCGAATGCATATTTAAATGGTCGGTATTTTATGTTCGTTTGGCTGCTTAAATTGCATTGGCTGTCACCACCACGTTTGCTCATTAGTAAAATATTATTATTACTAGCATTTCCTTCCTGCGCGCAAACAAATACATGCACACGGGTCAAGTGAATGCACAGCCGCATTGAGTAAATATCTGGTGAAAGGGAACAAAAATCAAATGAGCCATATGCCCCAACGAAGCCTTTTTTTTCAATCGACAAAACTGGATATATGGTTAAATCAATTTTTAATTATCGACTCTATTGCATTCTTAAATAGACGGCTTTCGTTGAACGAGCACTCGCCAACGAACGCTACATTCCACAAACAAAAGCGGTTTTTAATGCATTCATTTTGCAGGAATAAAAAGCGTTCATCGTTAAATGACGACAACGAAGCTGTCGTTTTGCCTTTCAACTGCAATTTATCAATTCGTTGAATTGTGGACGATAATAGCGACGTCGACGACCGAGTCGAGTCGATAGTCGATTCATCCATTCTGTTTGAATTATGCTTTTCTCGGTGTTGTTAAATATTCTCTGTCCGTTTGTTTTTCTTGCAAATGGGACAGTAATTGTTCAAAGATCAAATGTGTAAAATATTTATTAGTGAATGTTTTTGAATTGCCATATATATATACCTCTATATATTTCGTTACCGTTACTCGACGACTGTCATTTATCGGATTCCAACCATATTCAAAATGGGCACATACCTGCAAGAGAAAAATAGAGAGAAATGTTGAAAAATGCATGCTCAAAATGTTGTCAGAAGTTAAATTAATAGATAATAACACTTTAAAATACGATGGCCTTTTACTTCCAAGTGCATAAATAAGAGAGTGACAAATTCGATTTGACGTAGTTTGGATTGCATTAAGGGCGATCCATCAACAAACTGCACGTACCCAAGAAAACAGAAAATTAAAAAAAAAACACTCATTTCTACTTTACACTCTCTGGCTCTCGTTTGCTGCACGCTCATATTTTATTTATTTCTGCAACATGCACAATATTTTCGAGTATTTTAAAACCAGCCAACCCAAGATGCGAAGCACACTGAGAGCTCTCTGTGTGTACAACAAATTTATTTACGTCATAAACTTTATGAACAAGCAATAAAGATTTTCCATAAAAACAATTTTCGCATCAAGTAAGCAAAATAAACAGATGATAAAAGTGGAATAGAAGAGCGAAAGAAGAAACGAAAAATTGCACGAAAACAATCTGCGGCAAGAATGGAGAAAAACATTTTTTGGCATACACTGAACTGTTTGGATATTTTGAGCCAAGTGACTGACTGCACAAGTCGTTTCGGGAAAGTGGAACGGGGAGTGAGAGAGAGAGAGAAAGATGAGGAAAATGGCGAAAAGTGCGCACCATTTTCTGTTGAGTTGCTGCACATCATTTCATTTACGTCAAACATTTCGCTCGATGGAGCAACAACGAACGAACCGAATGAACAAAAGAGCACATAACATTGCGAAAATGCTTTGAATAAACAAACTCATTAAGTGATTTTCATGGAAAAATGAAAAGTAACATGCGTGCGACGCGCAATGCCTCCGCCTCATTGTAGTCACTGTTGCTGCTGCCACAACAATGTCAAGAATGTGCGAAAACTGTCACAAAGTTTTTCAATTAGATCAACATTCAGCGCATAGCGGAAAAATAAATGGCGTAAACAGCATGCGAGCGCACGAGTCTTTTGATAAATGGACCAAAATGGAAAAGTGGCCAGTTAAATTAAATCACGACACACGTGCACACACACACATAGCTGCATTTATTTCCTTGAAGAATTGAAAATTTACCGTTAACTGAACAATTACGTCCTGTGGCCGGGCCACAGAAATGAATAACTTTTTTAACAAATGAGTTTTGTGGTCATCGAAAAATACGGCCAAATTAAATTCGCCCTGATTGTATGGTGATTGAAAATGCGCTCGTTGCTCTCATTTTCATTGTTCATGTACACATTTCAGCCAACTCTTGTCGTTCGTTGGATTTATTTTTTTCATGGTCGAACATAAAAAATAAACCAATTGTCAAAATAAAAAGAACATAAAACGCGAGCACACAAAAGACTTACGTATACATATAAAATTGGTTATGAAGGAACAAACAAACAGAACGGTGCGGTGACAACAGCAGCCACAGCTTAAAATATACACTTCTCGCCTGAGCTCAACCGAAAAGACTACAATAAAAAGATGGAGAGGAGATGAAGGAAGGAAGGAACAAAAAAAAATAACTGCCAAGTAAATCCCATACACGAATAAATTCTTAAAATTATGAAATAACCATAAGATGATTATGACTGCGCAGTTTGCAGTCACTGTCCACAAAACCGCGAGCTCTTTTCTCATTTCCTTCTTGCGATCGCGCGCGTACGATTTATTCTTCGTATTTTTTGATGTCGTTGTTGTTGTATGTGCGTTCATCCGTCGTGGATCAACTTTATGACCATCGTTAAATGTGCATTTAAATATAGCGATATAAAATGGATTCGTGGCTGGTGCTTTTAATTTCATTATCTTTTCAGTCAAATCTTTTAAATCGCACACAAACACACTGATTCGTAATGACTCGCAAGGGGGTTCAGGAATGCCAAGCCAAAATAATAGGGAATAGAAGAAAAAAATGCGTTTCTATTTATTACCAATTTATTTGATTCATGCTTAGAAATGGGGACAAAATGCTGACGAAAGAGAACTAAACGCTGGGAAACGAAACAAAATGGAATTGGGAGGAGAAAATTAAGAAAATTGGACTTTTTTCATTCAACGAAAATTCACGTTATCTCTGCTTCATAGTATGAAATTCATACTGCGAACAATTTTCTACACATCTATCGTAGCACCGGTTTCAATCGATTGATAACTGTTATTGAACATTGATCCAAAAGATAACATCGTCAACTACTTTATTTGCATCTCTGTTAACATTTTACTATCGCCTCACTCACAGTGGCGATAAATTGATTTTACTATAAAAATTCTTGAATATTGATTGCATCTGTATCGGCTATAAAAACGGTGATCCAATCAAAAAGAGTATAAAATCGCAGTTCTGTACAAAAGAAACACACATGGAAATTGATGAATTTATATTTTTTATGGTTTATTTAAGAGAAACTTGACATGAGATCCATTCTAAATATTGCAGAAAAATAGACAACAATATCAAACATCTTTATGACGTTGCCGTGATTGGATTGGAAAGGTATAATGCTGTTTTTATGATAAATAGATTGTAGTTAGACCTGTCCGCTGAGGTAATAAAAGATTTGAATAGGAAAAAAAATGGTTACATTCAATCCATGGCGAGAAAAAGCGAGAGAGATTGAATGAGTGCAACAACACAAAAATTGGTGATAAAAATGGCGCACAAATTCGCAGGAGCATTTCATATGAAGTGAATATCAGTGAATTGAATCAATGTTCAACATGATTTTTATCTTAATTTACTCAATCGTTTCCCACTCACTGCGCTTAATGGCAGTCATAGCTATGACTATAACACTAGCGTTATATTATTGCTATGGCATACGCTTGCCTCAATGGCAAGAATAGTTCGTCTAGACGATTTCGAAACAACTAGAAATCTTCTCATCTTCCCGTCGTTCGCACACAACATCCATCGATTGATATTTTACAAATAGCTTCAGATAACCTTTATGATAATGCAATGCTCAATATTAGCAATATTGCTTGGATTATCGATATCAGAGCCACGGGCTCATTCCATCGTCATAATTAAACCTTACTTTAAAAGGTGCGTCTCAATTTTTCACTGTGTGTTTTTCTTCGCAAAATCTATTTAAGAGCGAATTAAGTCAGTGGGCAGACATTCATAAGGGGCATTTGCTGGTAATTACCGGGTTAGAGTATTCTGAGACCGGTATTTATTTCATTTCGAGCATTTTTCAGACAAAAAAACCGGAGGATTTAAATTAAGCCAATAAAAATTGATGTACAACAAATTGCTCTTAGTAACAAATGGCGCATCTATATCTATTTTTCGATTACATTCAAAACACTTGAATTGGATTAAACGATTTTCAACATTTTGCGCGGATTCACGCATTTTACAGTCGCTGGCTCAGACTTCGAACCGGAATTTCTGTTTACTTTTTCTTGTTACTTCAAAATCCGTACTGTATTCAAAATTGTATCCACTTCACCATGAATTGTTATCATAACAATTGAACTTGCACGAGTGGCTATTGTTTCCATGTTGTTCTTATGCTCATTAAAATGAACGAGCACTTTTTTTGTATGTTGTGGAAATAAATCACTTATCGATTGTTTATTTTTCTGCTCTGTTTTGTTCTATGTTGAACAAAGAAATTTATCCATACAATCGACATAAGTTTTATAATTTAATGCACTTTCTGGACTCGTAACTGTTTTTTATTATACAATTTGCATCTTTCGATGCGCGCACACAAACACTAAACATAAGTTGTCGCACGTGGAATTCACGAATTATTTGATCGTTGTTTTTTTTTTACGATGGGCCAAATATTGAAGAAAATATTTACGTTGATTCTGAGAACGGTGGCAATCAATGGGAGAACCGTAATCAAAACCGAAAAAGAGCCAAACAAACAGAAAAACAACACATTTTGTCGATATAAATTCGAGTGTCGTGTGAGTGTATGTGCGCGCGCGCGTGAAGCCACCAATTGCATATTGCATACACATTATCTGCACGGGATAAGTCGTAAATTCATTGAAAAACACACGCACGCAGGAAACAACAAAAAACTCAAGAAAAATAAAATAATAATGTTCCGAATGTTTGCGTTGGGTACACACACGGAATGCACTTAACATTTCCATGAAAACCGAAACACAAACGAAGCGAACGAAAATTATTTATTATGTCAACACAAATAAAATGAGATTGGTAAATATTTGGAGATTCGTTTGTTATTCTCTTTTTTCTCATCGGGTCGAGATGCGTGTGGTAAAGAGGAATTCATGAATTTTTGTTTACGCGCATGTTGATGGCATTTTTACCGAAATTTCCTCGTATTGAAACCACTCGGATGCGTACTCATTTCATAAATTTTATGAAATAATTTCAATTTTAAATTATTTTTTTTTTTTCGTTTAAAAACAGATACTTCGTTCAATGGCAAACCATTAAAATGCAACGCACATATTTCACTCGGTTCATTCGGTTTATAGCCGGTCTGAGGATGAAATGAAAGCAATTTAAGAAGAAAACAAAATGTTTGGATCTCTCTTGAAAACGATTATTGGCCCAAAGTGAACAATGTTCACCGAATATCTTTCCAGTTGAATGTGAATCATTCGCGGCTTGTTGATACTGCAATAAAATGCAATTGCGCATTTCGGTCTCGGTTTCGAGTTTCATGTTTTGAGCATCCAATCTGGTTTCCATTTTTTTCTCCTAAATTGTTATGTAAATGTACATTTTGAGTCAAAGCATATTTCGAACCAATTTCAAAATATTTAGTCAATGTTTTAATAGTTAACACATTTCATCGCCGAACCAATTCAACACAATTGTTTTTGACTGGCAGTCACTGACTGCGCTCAAATAGCATAAACAAAACGGCGATAAATAATGAAGCGGCTTTGAAATGGTTGAAACCATGAAGAGAAATGGAAATCAGTAGGAAAACCATTTATGATTCATCATCAACAATTTTTAGAGAAGTGAATATGAATCCAAA